TTCTCTAGAAATTGATTTAGAAGATCAATTTTCTATGCATGTCAACTTTTATGTCCATTAATATTCAACTGATCATCTAGTTGGGACATTAGTTAGGTGAATCTTGAGACCTATCATTTGACTTATGAAGCCGTTCGTTTTCCATTTTTCAGATAAGTTTTGGAGTCTCTCTTAAGCAACAGAAAAGAATTACGAACTTATGGGGGAAAAAAGATAAACCCCTTTTCTTGTAGTTGCAAAAGAGAAAATTATATCAATTCCAAAGAGTCTATGGGAGCCGCCAATACGCGTACAATCCCTACGTGTATGACTATTGTTTGGTTCTAAAATTTTACATTCATCAATGAGATTCTAAGCCTTAACTTTAACGGAGCATTAAGAAAATCGTCTTGAAGTTCAATACTATAATAATCGTTTATGGACACTACAGTTTGGCGTCTAAAGCATAAAGGAAACGAATTTGATCCTACTGTTCTTATTGTGGTTGACTAACATTGACTGGCCTTTTACCCATGGTAATTGCCTAAATATTTGTTTATTGTCATTTCTAATTGAGGTTTAAATGAGTTACATTTTACATTTACACGTGACATGTATACATTTTTTTTCTTACTTTTTTTAGTAGAACCAAAAATGTGTGACGATAGAACTTTCTAACATGCCTTTAGTTTGATTGAACAATGATTCAAATTTTGATGTAGACATGAAAAACCGATCTAAATCTTGGTAAAAAAAAAAAGTAAAACTTGTCTTAATTGGGTTTGGCCTTAGAGACCAATTAAAACAAAATTCATAAGCTTATGGATTTTATTAGACACTTTTAACGGTTAAGGGACTATATAGAATAATAAGTAAAAGTTGAGGGATTATTTCAAAATAGTATAAACTTGCTATTAAAAGTTGAGGACTATATAGAATAATAATTTTGATTGGTGAAAATAGCATATAAAGCAGTATAAACTTGCTATATTCCACATCCAAATACAGGTTTCTCTTGGTTGTACTTCTTGATAGGCTAATTTCACTCCACAATACTTAGAAATCAAAGCTGTTAGGGACCTAGTTGCAAAAAATTGAGAAAGTTTTTGGGGTCAACATTAAAGAAACATAAAGCTTACGAACCAAATTACAATTAAATTAAGGACCTAATTGAAAGAAGTTCAAACTTTTTAGAGCCATAATAAAATTACTCGAAAGTATAGGGACTAGATTGCAATTTTCTTATCAGATTTTTGTAAGATAAAAGGCCATTGGACTATTCTATTATTTACTTGGGCCAACGCCTCACAAGCCCAATGAAGGTCCAAAGAAAAATACATAGACCAGCCTATAATTTTAACCAAACAAACCCAACCGAAAATGCATGGGTCTTGGCATCTAAACCCAAGTCAAAATCCAACTAAAAATAAACCAAAATCCACTACCAAAACTGAACAAAAAACCTAAACTATTTTACTAAAACCCAACAAGATAAAAAATCAACTAAAAATTATTAAACCCTGATTATGTCCCAAAGCCTAGAAATAATTTGCTTAACAACATATTTAAAATATGCAAAAGAAGATTAAATTTAAAAGGGAGAAAATTGATTTATTTTTTCAGATTTTGGGCCACATTAGAATTATGTGAAAATTTAGGGATCAAAACGCAAAATTTTCAGATCATCATGCAAAGCTTCAAAGCCTTTCTGCAGCTCTGCAGTTCACCAAACATGACAAACTTCAAACGAATGGTGCATCATGAAAATGAAGACAGCCAATACATTATTCTAGGGAATAAATCAAGTCCAAATCTTTTCCAACCTCCTAGCAAAATCACCAAAACGTTAAACTAGGCTTCACAACTTCAATGGGAAGAAACAAATTTTGGGACAAAAAATGAAAAGGCAGGAAGGAAAAAGGCAACGAGAAAATGGAAAAGGGGACAAACGTGCATAACCACGAGAAAAATAATCCCAATCAGATTCATTTGCATATTTTATCGTCCTTTTTTGCAAAAACAACAACGATTAAACCAGGTTCATCCAAACGCCAGCCATGGTCAACTATTGAGATGCAAAGTCAGACCAAGAAATAACAACCCAAAAGCGCATATTTTGTGGATTCCATTTCATGCATGAACTAGAATGGATAAGAGGTAGAGTCATGATTACTTGAGGGTGAATCTCTGATAGGTTGCAATTTTATTATTTATTTTATTGTTAATTTTCCCCATTACCTGACCTGATATGAATTAATTGTCAGATTCTACTCACTTTTGGAAATTTGCACTTATTACAGGGAGTAGAACAAAAATACCATAACAAGTGCCAATTTGGCAATCATCAGGAAAGAATTCAAGTAGCAGGCGTCTAGGGGCATTTTTGAAATATCAAGACGTAACCCCTTTTTGGTAATTTGCGGAAGACAGCATTGAGGGAAACAACGAAAAGGCTGGAGTCTTCTTCCGCTGGGCAGCCGCAAAGCAGGAGGGATTTGGAGAGTAGGAACTAGATAGGAACAGATAGAAAAGAGGAGCAGGGAACAAGCACTACGGAAGCTTAGCCTTTGACTTTTCTTTTCGTCTTTAGCTGCTTTTCTTTTTTCCGTAGGAGTAGACAAGGTGAAGACCAAAAACAAACCAATGAATCAACCTCTGTAGCTTGGCTTTTTCATCCTTATTCCATCGCAATTGAATTTACTCAATCAAGACGATGTCCGTGAATATTACTTCTGAACTCTCGCGTGGGTCTTTCGCATTGGGGATGAACTAAATTCCCTTTTTCTAGTCAAGAAACAACAGATGCTTTGGTTTACCTAGAAATTGTGAGATCGATTTAATTTTATCTTTTTCTCTTATTTATTGGTATTTGCATATTCCCTGATTGCAGTGCTTATGATTATTTAATTAATAGATTGTCTTAGATCCCGATAATGAGTTGATTGAATAATCCATTGTTAATTGGGGTATTAAATTCGTAATTATTTAATTGCCTCAAAATAGTGATAACTGGCATGATTAGATTTGTGTCAGAGAAATACGCAAGCTAATCTAAAATAACCCTGGTAGTGCGTTATTTGGTTAGAATAGAAATCCTCTAATACGTAAGGTAATTGGGGAATTAAATGTTATGGCCGTATCTAAGATTATTTCTCAATTAGAATAGTGATTAACGGGCGTATCTTAATCACCGACACCGTAAGGAGGGGTTGATTGTTATCGCTTGTTTGACAGTTATAACCTATTTATTAGTAAATAATTTGAATTGCCCTTGCATCGATGATCAATTAGGTGAACCATTGTTGAAGTTATTTCTTGACTAGACCTTTAATTATTATTACTCTAATTTTAGTGAACTGTCATTTAATTTCTAGTTAGTTATTTATTTTTATTTAAACTCCTTTGATTGTTATCGTTTATACAAAAACTCCCATTTGTTACTGTGGATTTGAAAAGAAACGAATTTTTCCCAATCTCTGAGAATACGACCCTACTTGCCCTGTTTACAAATCAATAATTTCTTGTGAATAACCAATTCCATTCTGATATATCGGGTTAAGCAAACTCTTCAGGAATAGGGTGAATCAAGTAACCCATTGCACATCTAGAGTCCCAGGTCCAATACTCAGAATTGAGTTTTGATTATTTTAATTGTCAACTAAGTTTATTTTTATTATTGCACAGGAATCGACAACCTGTCAATTTTTGGCGCCGTTGCCAGGGACTGGCATTAGTTATTTGTTTCTTTTTAAGTTCATATTTGTTCTAATTTTTTCATATTTTTCTAGTGTATGCCTCGTTTTTCTCATACAGGTGAATTGATTTTTGACTCTGAGGTAGAGAAAATCGTACGGAGAACCCGAAAAGAGACCAGACAGCTCCGAAATGAGCAATCTAGCGCTGCATCTCATAGACTTGATCCGGAAGTTGAAGCAACAAGTTCGTTTGGTGACACTTCGAGTGACTCGGATCAAGAAGAAGTCACTATGGCTAATGCACGAATACTAAGGGAATTAGCTGCTCCTGATTTAAATCAGCAGTCTTTATGTATTACTTTTTCAAATTTAAATGATAACACTCCATTTGAGTTAAAATCTGGGCTAATTCATCTCTTGCCATCTTTTCATGGTTTGCCAGGTAAAGAGCCGTATAAGCACTTACAAGAGTTTGATGTCATTTGCAACAGCATAAAACCCCCGAAAATTATAGAGGAACAGATAAAAATGAGGGTATTCCCTTTCTCCTTAAAGGATTCTGCAAAAAATTGGTTGTACTACCTACCACCAGGTAGTATTACCATATGGGACCAGCTGAAGAAAAAATTCTTAAACAAATATTTTCTTGCGTCTCGAGCTGCAAGTCTAAGGAAGCAGATATGCGGTATCAAGCAGCATCTGGGAGAGTCGCTTTATGATTATTGGGAATGGTTCAAGAAATTGTGCACTAAATACCCTCAACACCAAATAAGTGAGCAATTGTTCATCTAATATTTTTATGACGGGTTACTTTTCAGAGATAGGAGCATAATTGATACTGCAAGTGGAGGGGCATTGGTGAATAAGATCCCTCGAGAAGCATGGGAACTAATTGAAAGAATGACTGAGAATTCGCAGTAGTTTAGTACGAGGGAGGATGTCCCAACACACAAGGTGAATGAGATAGAGACATCTTCTATCCAACAGCAGTTGACTGAGTTAACATCTTTTGTTAGGCAACTGACTGTAGGAAATGCATCACAGACCAAGGTGTGTGGGATTTGCACTGCTATGGGTCATTCTACAGAAATATGCCTAATGATCCAAGAAAAAAGTGCAGAGCAAGTGAACATAGCTGGCCACGCGTCCTCGCCAAGAAAGCCCTATGACCCGTACTCAAATACTTATAATTCGGGTTGAAAAGATCACCCTAACTTCAGATATGGAGGAAATAGGCAGTCCAATTTTGCACCAAATAGACAGCAAGGGCATCAACAATAGTATCAGCCTCGCTCGCCACCACCCCTTTCAAACTCAAGTCCGTCTATGGAGGAAATGATGAATCAATTAATTGCTAATCAACAAAAGACGGATTCTGACCTGCAGAGTATGAGGAACCAACTGGGACAGGTGCAAGCAATGCAGAGTCAGATGAGTCAGATGGCGATAGCAATTAACCGCCTAGAATTCCAAATCCAAGATAAATTACCATCTCAATCTGAATTGAATCCGAAGAACATAAGTGCGATGATCCTAAAGAGCGGGAAGAAAATTCAGGGGTCTGAACTCACAATTTCAAAGGACAAGGATGAGAAAAAAATTGAGAACGAACTTGAGAAGGAGGGTAGCCAAGGCACAACTCCAGTGGTATTTCCTGACCCGATCGTTGAGGTAAAAACTCATCCGCCTCCCTTTTCTAGTAGGTTGAAAAAACCAAAAAAACAGAATAAGGAGAAAGAGATCCTGGAGGTGTTCCGCAAGATAGTGATAAATATCCCCCTGTTTAACGCCATCAAACAAGTGTCGAAATATGTCAAGTTTTTGAAAGACCTGTGTGTCAATCGAAAGCGGCTGAGGGGAGATGAAAGAATTATTGTGGGGGAGAATGTGTCAGTGGTTCTACAAAGGAAACTCCCACCGAAGTGCGGGGGCCCAAGTATGTTTACTATCTCCTGTAAAATTGGCAACACTTTGATTAGGAAGGCCATGTTGGACTTAGGAGTATCGATCAATGTAATCCCTAGATCTATCTATGTTCCTCTGAACCTAGGTCCATTAAAAGAAATTGGGATAATAATTCAATTAGTTGACCGAACTAATGCATACCTTGATGGGTTGGTTGAGGATGTGTTGGTCAAAATTAATGATTTGGTATTCACAACTACCTTTTATGTACTTGAGATTGATGATGATCATTCCCCCGATCCCTCACTTTTACTATTAGGTAAACCCTTTTTTAGCACAGTACAGACTAAAATTGATGTTAATGAGGGTACCTTGTCCATGAAATTTGATAGGGAGATTGTTCATTTCAATATTTTTTATACTATGAAATATCTCTCAAACTCTAATTTTACCTCTATTTTTTCTGTGAGTGCTGTTGACCCTGCGGTGCAGAAAGTGTTTGAAACTATTGACAGGGATGAGTTAGAGGTTGTTTTAACCAAACATCTAGAGTTGGAGACAACTCCTGACGTGGAGTGGAGTGAAGATTTAAAATGCATAATAGGGGCGTTATACTCGTTGCCAACCACAACGAAAAGGTATGAAGTCTCACCTATTTTTATTCCCAAACCTTACCAAAGGGTACTGCCGAAACACTTGAAATATGCATATCTGAGTAACAACGAAACACTCCCGGTGATCATCTCAGCTGCACTCTCTGACACCCAGGAGGAGAAACTAATTCGAGTCCTGAGTGAACATAAAGAGGCGATAGGGTGAACCATCACCAATATTAAGGAAATCAGTCCCTCCATCTGCATGTACCGAATAAGACTCGAAGAGGACGCCAAACCTGTACGGCAAGCTCAAAGGAGGTTCACTCACCTCATGATGGAAGTGGTGAAGAAAGAGATATTGAAGTTGCTCAATGTGGGAATCATCTTTACAATATCAGATAGCTCTTGGGTGAATCTAGTGCAGGTAGTTCCAAAAAAAATAGGAGTGACAGTGAAAACCAATCAAACGGGTGAGCTTGTGCCAGTGCGCAAACCTACCGAATGGCGACAGTGTATCGACTACCGCAGATTGAATACTGTCACGAAAAAGGACCATTTTCCTCTTCTTTTCATTGACCAAATGGTTGAACATTTACCTTGTAGGGCTTACTATTGTTTATTGGATGGATTTTCAGGATATTTTCATATAGCAATCGCACCAGAGGATCAAGAGAAGACGACCTTCACGTGCCCGTTCGGAACCTTTGCATACAAATGCATGTCATGCGGGTTGTGCAATGCACCTGCCACATTCTATAGATGTATAGTAAGTATCTTTTTATAATATGTGAAGAAAATTATTGAGATTTTCATGGACAATTTCAGTGTATATGGTGACAGTTTTGATACTTGTCTAGATAACCTAAAATTGATCCTGTTAAGATGTATAGAAACTAATCTCGTGCTTAATTAGGAAAAATGTCATTTTATGGTTGAATATAGGATAGTTTTTGGTCATGTTGTATCTTCTAAAGGTATTCAAGGATAAAATAAATATTATATCTGTTTTACCTTACCCCGCGAGTATGCGGGAAGTGCGCTATTTTCTCAGACATGCAAGATTTTACCGCAAGTTCATCAAAAATTTTTCAAAAATTGGAACCCCTCTATTCCAATTTTTATAAAAAGATGTGGCTTTTGAATTCGATGACAAGTGTGAGAGGGTCTTCAACACGTTAAAGACACTGTTGACCTCGCCACTGATTATCCAACTCCCTGACTGGAGTCTACCCTTTGAGATCATGTGCGATGCCGGTGACCATACAGTGAGGGCTGTGAGAGTAGAAAAGGCAATTCACGTCATCTACTATGCATCCAAAGCCTTGAATGGAGCTCAACTGAATTACTCCACTACTGAGAAGGAGCTTCTAGCAGTTATCTTTACTTTAAAAAAATTTAGATCATATTTGTTAGGTACTAAAATTATTATATTTTCTGATTATGCAGCATTAAAGTACCTAATGACGAAGAAAGATGCAAAATCGAGGCTCATAAGGTGGATATTGCTCCTGCAGGAATTCAATCAAGAGATAAAGAATAAAAGGGGCTAAGAAAATTTGGTGGCTGACCACTTGAGTCGCATATCCGTAGGAGAGAAGAAAGAGCCATTAAGGGATACATTCCCTGAAGAACACTTGTTTTTTTTAAAGTCTTAATTGCCTTGGTATGCGGATTTTGTAAATTACCTAGTAACGGGCAATTTTCCTGCAGGTTGGCCAAAAACAAGACGGGACAAGTTAAAGAGCGATGCCAAATACTTCATATGGGATGACCCGTACTTGTAGAAGAGATGCACTGACCAAGTGATGAGACGATGCGTAAGTGAAGTTGAATTTCAATCAATTTTAACTTGTTGTCATACTTTAACCTGTAGGAGTCATTTTGGACCGAAATGAACTGCACATAAGATATTGGAGAGCGGGTTTTACTGGCCTTCTTTGTTTAAAGATGCGTATGTATTTTGTAAGTCCTGTGATCGATGTCAACGGGTGCGTAATATAGCCCGTAGAGATCATATACCCCAAGTCCCGTTAATTTTTGTAGAAATTTTTTATATTTGGGGTATAGATTTTATGGGGCCTTTTCCTACATCGTTTGGTTTTGTATATATGCAGATTATGTGTCCAAATAGGTAGAGGTTAAGGCCACTCGGACTAATAATTCAAAAGTGGTTGTAGATTTTATCAGATCTAATATTTTTGTGCGTTTTGAAATGCCAAAGGCCATTGTAAGTGACAGGGGGGCGCACTTCTGCAATAAGACTATAGCCGCGCTGTTTCGCAAGTACGGTGTACTCCACAATGTCTCGACATCGTACCACTCTTAGACCAATGGTCAAGCGGAGGTATCAAATCTGAAAATTAAGTCCATCTTGGAGAAAATGGTCCGGTTCGATAGAAAGGACTGGAGTCAACGGTTGGAAGATGCACTCTGGGCATATCGTATAGCGTACAAGACCCCCATAGAGATGTTACCGTACAGATTGGTATTTGGGAAGCAGTGTCACCTTCCAGTGGAGTTCGAACACAAGGCTTTTTGGGCGATAAAACAATGTAACATGAATCTAGAAAAGGCCAGTGGCCAGCAAAAGTTGAATTTACAAGAATTGGAGGAGATCCGGAACAAAACGTATGAAAATGCGCTAATTTATAAGGAGAGGAGCAGGGCATTTCATAACCAACAAATCTCTTGGAAAACCTTTGAAGTTAGTTAGAAGTTCCTCCTGTATCAATCCAGGCTTAAACTCTTTCTAGGTAAGCTACGTTCCCATTAGATTGGACCTTTTATTGTTACTCACGTCTTTTCCTATGATACAGTAGAAATCTAGAGCGCTAAGACAGACAATAAGTTTATGGTGAATGGACATCGTCTCAAACACTATTACGAGGGTTTTGTAGATGGAGAAGTGGAGGTGATACGTTTGGACGAACCAAAATATTCCGACTAGTACTCCTTAGTCATGTCTAGCCAAAAATATTAAAGAAAGGCGCTCATTGGGAGACAACCCAATTTCTTTTAATTGTTTGTTCAGTTTGGTTTGATAGCTTAAATATGTTTTACTTGAATTTGACCAATTTCTGGTTTCAATTTTCATTTTTTGATGATTTGTAGGTATCTCTCTGACTTGACGCGTTCACGTCAACTGGGAGCGTGGCATAATGCGACTTCCTGGTGCTTGGTTAAAAGAGTTTTCATCCTTATGACGTGCCCGCGCCGAGTAATATGAAGAGCTCTTTTTCAGAAGGGTTCTTGCCTTTTTGACGCGCCCACGTAACATTCGCGAAAAATGTAAGTATTCAAATCTCGAGAAAAATTTTTGATTTTCTGTTAATCTCTAAATTTGAATTTTAAAAATAAATTTTATTAATAATATCTAAAAAAACAAAAAAAATTCTAAAAAAAAAGTCTTTCGTTTGACCGTAGCTTTTGATTTTCAAGTCACAAGTTTGTTTTTTTAATTTAAGAAAAAAATTATTATTTTTTCTTTCTCTCTTTCTTCCTTTTTCTTTCTTTCTTCTCTGTCGACCGAAGGCTCTTTGCCCGCCGCCATCTCCTTCCCTCATCGCTATCGTGCGATGCCGACTGCCACCTCGCTGCGCGTCTCTCTCACCACAGTTTCACCGCAGCTCCCTCGCACGCTTTCTCTCTCTCCCGCACGTGACTGTCCTCCGCCTCTCTCCATTGCCTCGCGATCTCTCCACGCAGCCGCACGCCGCAGCCCAACAGCAACCGCCAACCACCGCAGCTCACGCGGCCACTTAGCGGCACCATACACGCAGCTACCTGCAGCCGCATCTCATGCACGTGACTGTCACCGCTATCGGTCTCGCCATTACGCGCTGCACGGAGTCAACCGCCACTGCATCGCCGTCACTGTTCGTGCCGTACCTATGTGTGTCGCCCTGGCCGTCATATCTTGCCGTCATCATGGTGTAGGTATTGCCTCACTTCGTCCATTTTCCTGGGCTTCTGAAATTTTAAGTGCGTTTGCTACTTTTAGGAATCAACTGTGGTCCAATTTCCTACTTGAATTATTGCATATCTTGGGGTGATTTGTTGGGAGTTATTTGGGTATTGACTGCACGAGACTTCTATTGTAACTGTAGTGGAGCAATTTCTAGGTTTGTTAGATTGGGAGGGGACTGTGACCCTTGCGTTGCTTATTGAAGTTGGTTAAATCATTTTGAATCGCTGGGTGTGTTCTGTCTCTTAATTTCACTTGCCTTACGTATTGATTCCAATTGAGTTCAATTGCTGAGTTTGTTGGATCCTTTGTTGCGATTTTGAAATTGTATAGACTCTACTGTTGACTGATAAATTGGGGGACATTGGTAGTAATTGCTCTGCTTTGATATTGCTCTATTGGTGGCACATTCTCTTTCTTGTGATTGGGTTAATACTTGGGGTTATTGCTTTATTACTGCTCTGCTCTGCTATAGCAATTTCATTGATTTTGGACTGTAATTTGCATTCAGTGGTACTGGTTGGCGTATTTTTCCTTGAATTTTTAACTCTATGTGGTTGGATATCTAATTGACTGCCAAGGGCTTGTCAATGTGTTGCTCTTGCTGAACTTCTGAACTGTTCTTGCTGGTTTTGCCATATTATTGGGGCAATTGTTACGGTTTGACTGGTGGGGGCATTTGCTGAAGTTTTAGAGTGCATTTGTTGAGATTGTGGATGGACAAAGTTTGCTTTGTTGACTGCCTAAATTGGGTAGTCCCTGTGCTTATTGAAGTGTTTTTGCTAGTTTCTGGTTGTTGATAATAGTGGGGTATCCTGTGATTATTGAGTGCAATTGTTACATTGTTGACCGTGTTTGGGTTTGGGTAGACTGTGTTTGCTTTTGATTGTTGAGTTGGGGAGCGCTGGTGACTACTAAATTGCATTTGTTGGATTCTATAATTGTTAGCCTTTTTCTATTTGGTTGTTTGGGGGTGAAAACTGGGGGACACCCGAGACTATTGTGTTGCTGCTAATTTGCATTTGCGAGTTGTTATATTTGTTGGAGCTTCTATTGATTGAGTTGATTGCTTACGACCATGGTGAGACCGAAATCATCCTCTAGGTCTAAAATCTCTCACCTTCAGCCCCGACCCCAACCCTCTATTCCAGTGAATCCACCCACTAACCAACCTTCCTCCTCCGGTGCCCGTCCCCGCTTAGGCAGGGGTAAGGGTGTTCATATGACTGCTCCCGCTCACTACGGGGGCATTTAAACTT